CCTTCGCCTACAAGTTCACAAGTCTTACAACAACATTTGTTGTAGGACTAGTGAACACGAATTAATTAAAGTATGGAAACCAGTTACTAACTTGCGAAACAACTATGCTTTTTTGAAAGCATAACATAACTTGTAGAAGTTAACAGTGTATAGGTACCAACATCTCTACATCAGACGGGCCATGTACCAATTTGGTAACACACCTACACGTTCAGAGATTGATCTTAGTATAATAGACTCAAATTAATTAAGGGGACTGGTGAGAAATGAAAAAAAAAATCACGTACAACTATTACTCTGAATATTACCACTAATCTAAGGGCTTATATGTGTAAATTCACAAAATTCTCGTTTTATTTTTAAGTGAGAGAAGTTCTAATAGAGTTCTGGTTCTATTTCCAAAATCTTAATAGTACAATAGGAAATGTTCATCTGCCTATTCAGGCATAACAAGATAATTTGTAAAAAATATACTTGATAAATGTGCTGACAATATATGTATGTACCGTACCTTCTATGATTCGCGTTATTTTTTTGTAGTTTAGCTTTAAGGTAATTTCTTATTACGTTACAGATGTAAAAATCAAACGTTTCAAATGATTTATAAGGTTCTAAATGAAATTCTTTCAGTATTTTAGTAGTTTGATTGGTGGAAAGGTACGGTAGAAATGAGCTAAATCTTTTTTTTTAAAGAAACGTTGGGCAAAAGAGCGTAAAATATTTACGGACTGTAGTTAGAATTTTAAGCATTCCAGTTTTGAAGTTAAATATTGACCTCTGGCAGTTCTTTAAAATGCCAACATTGGCTACGTATAGCATAAATACGTGTTGGTGTGTGTGTTTTATGTTTATATGGGTTTAGTTTAACGACATAATGTGTAACATTTAAGTAAATTACTGCCATAGGAAAAATTTAATGTTATAACTAGGATAATTGGGCCTCCACCACTGTGCCTAATTTTTTGGGTCTGACAACTAATTTGTGGAACAAATCGTCGCTTGGGGTATTTCTAGATCGAAGCGACCTCTAAATCATCAAGAAAAGAGAGTACTCCAACCTCAAAGTTCGACAACGCACTCGTGACTCCTGAAACCATAGGCGGCGTTAGTCACTTTCCATTATCTATTATAATAATACTGATTCAGCTCGAAAACACGGTACTGTTCTTAAACGTTTGCTTCTATGTTTACGTGCGATTGTAAAGTCTTTTGTGGCCAATGTGAGTTTAATGCCAGGGCAAAATAAATTGAAAGAAATGTAAATAGAAGCAAGGTGGTAGATGATTTTAAAATCAGCAACAAGAATGTTATTATACTTGTGCATCGTTTCTGGGTCCGAGTATTTGAAATGTATATATATAATGTATAACAGATTTCCACGTATATAGTCACTCATCACGATATCTCTGGAACCATTAGAGCTAAAGACTTGAAATTTGGTAGGAATATTATTTTCACCGAGTAGAGGTTGGCTAAGAACGGATTTAAAGAAATTTAAAAAAATATTTTTTTTTTAATAATGTAAATAGCAAAACAACGTTTGAAGGGTCAGCTAGTAAACTATATATCAAGCGTCTAAAAAAGGATCTTGTTCAGTAATTGTGTAATATCTTTTTTCAATTATTGGTACATTGAACGTCTGATGTTTAATTGTTAAAAGTTCCAGATAGCATTCTTAATGCTTCTTCAATCGCTTATCCCTCTTTTCCCATTATGCATTGCGGTTGGTAAATGCGTTATAAGCCTTAGAATGGATGATTGTTGAATGATGATATACTTTAATAATCATCTTATTAGCGTAAACATCAGTAGGTACTAGTCACGCGGCTTGAATTAAACCAGAAATCTATTGACCTAACTCAGGAGTGAATAATCAAAACACAATGATCTGAAAACTATTTTGAAAATCCTACCAAAAAATCACGCGCTGCGGGCTCGTTAAATTTAGATTCCGTATTCAGAATGCAGACTGGGTCAAGCTACGACAGTGACCTTTAGAAAACTGTTGTTAAATTGTGAGAAACAGTATTTTTAAAACAATTTTTAAAATGTTTTTTATTGTTTACGTACATAATACCTACCTATGTAGGTATTATGTACATAAAAAATAAGAAACGTACGTATGTAACAGAAAAAAATGTACGTAAAATGTTTAGGTAAAGTGCAGTTTCTGAGACCAGATACAGTAATAACAGCTTAGGTTTTTTTAGGTTTAGGATGTATTTGCAAATATTACAAAAAAAACGAATATGTTTGTGTTAGTGTGTTAGTTAGTATATATGCTTTGGGTTAGTGATAATGTTTTGTAGTATAGTGGCTACGCTACATGTTAAACAAATTAGTTTAACTGTAATTTGAAGATTTCTTTTAAATTAAGTGTAAATGAACTTAAAATATAATAGTTAATGAATAGACAATAAATGCTGGTTTGTCTACTACAAGTTTTCTCGTCTCGCCAGCGTGGTATAGTGTGCCAAAACCTCCTTTCTAAGGAGAGGCATGTGTCCAGCAGTGGACTAGTAAAGGCTGTTGATGAATGAATAATGAAAATGTTTAAACTACAATTAAGTGGTGTATATTTAATTATTCTAATTGTCATTTTACCAAAATACATCAGATGTAGTGTAATTATGTTGCGGGCGTAATGTGGAAATAACACACTATTATGTTATTTCAAGCAATGACATAAACTACGCATACAAGTCATTTGTACAATAATATTTCACATTGAACTGTTAATGGACGACATAATTACATTTCAAATTGTTTACGACATACACACAATTAGGAAATTGAATTAGTAAAGCACAAATGAAATGTTTTCAATGGAAACAAAACGAACCATTGAAATGTAAAGGCAATTTACAATTTACAATCCTAGTAAAGAATTTTGGTAAAAGAACGGATAAACAAAATGGATGCGTCGCCTTCGGACGGAATATGAAAACCTTAAATAATTTCAATAGTTAACTAGATTTTATAGTTTAAATCTTAACTAGTTTTTAGTTTCGAGAACATTCGAGGCACAATCGATTTGTAGGTTCTCGATATATTGATTTCTAATTAAGGGGAGTTGCGTGAAATATAGTTTTACTCTAACATCCAGTTCTAGTGTTTCAAACCACATACTTTGAAGTTTCACGATATCAATTCTCTTCGACGCTACCATATTCATATTTTCGTCGTGAGACTGTGTTTTGAAACTATAGAGACAGCTGAGAGAGACCGATAACTTATCCATTACTTCACATAAATGATTTGGAGTAATAGTCCTGAAACGGCTACGTTGGAAATTTTGGAATTACTGCTATTAACAGCCCTCAACAAAAAAATTGCAATAAAAATAGTAAAACACTAGTAAATGATTTTTAACAGAAGATGAAATATTCAGTGAAAATAGACAAAGGTATTCTCAAAGGCATAAACAATTTATTTTCCATAAAACTTATTGTAGGCACCCGCCTATTAGCACAGCATTATGTATTCAAATTAATGTATAATGTATACGTGGATTATTTGCTATTGTGAAGTTTCTTTGTGTTATATCATTAATAATTTTGTAGCACTTAGATTACTTTTCTATTACATCGCTTTCAGGTAGTTTTTATAAAGAGTTTTTGTATGGTATGGTTAATGATTCTCTTATATTATTAGTTGGTTTGCTACATTATTTAGAAAAAGTTTTCATAGATCAAAAAAAGTGTAAAGTTAATTGTAAAAAATATATTTTATAACTGAATTTGTAGTCAAATTTAGATTAACTATTAAATTTTTCATCATCATCAATAGCCTTTACTAGTCCACTGCTGGACATAGGCCTCTCCTTAGAAAAGAGGTTTTGGCCAGACGGGTGCATATAGGGTTTGTGTCAAGTTTTCCTTCTCTCTGTAGTCCTGCGTATTTTCCTCCCTTAATCGTCTCTTACAACACCCACGGGATGTATAGGGGTGGTGACACTGTGTATTTTTAATCCGTCACCACACGGACAATAAATTATTAATTATAATTAATGAGCAGTTGCATGATACCTGAAAGTGATATAACAGAATGTTATTTAATTAATTTGTAATTAAAAGCTAATATTTACATATATTTATTAATATTTGGCAATTAATATATGTTTCTACTCTATTTGGAATACTCGAAAGATACGCGTATAATTAATTGGAAATTTTGAAACTTAAACGTGTTACGATTTTTTTTTGATAACATAATTTTAATAACTTGTTACTGAATTAAAATATTTATATTACAACAACTATATGAAAACGTAATTTAAAAATTAATAATTTTATCTTATCTAAACCGAATAAGGTATCATAGGACTACAGCATAAATATAGAGGACGTAATTGACAGGGTCAAATTTTTCACTAGTATTTTATCCGTAATAGAAATAAAGGTATGTGAAAAATAGTTTTTTTCTTATACAGGAATTTATCCCGATGCGTAAAATAGAGACTTTCAGGAGGAGAAAGGGGTAAATAGCAAAAGACAGCATAATTATTCTGATTACACTAAGATCTACGATTTTGATACTTATAATAGCACCACACATCTACGATTTGCGCATAACGCTTTATTAGAGCTACATTTAGTATAATAGAGAGATATGATGAAGAGAAGAGAAGAGGAATAAACTCTACAGAAAGTACAGTAAGATATTATTGGACTTAAATCTATATTAAGTAATTGGTACCATTCAAATCACATACTGCATTTGTCAAAGAAAGCATTAAAATATTCTTAAGTAATAATAATAATAAAATTGTATTCCCAATTTATACTCAATAGACTTAAAAGTACCAATAAAACATGTTTTTTTTTACGTTTCAAGTAAGATTTCTAAATTCTATTTAATTCAAAATTCTGATCTAGCGTCTTAGAAGAGAATATTCTAGAAATTATTTCGAATATAAGGCAGAGATAATAAATTGAAACGTAACCAAAGATTTTCACAATTGAATTGGACCTTCAAACCATAAACATGCGTGAATAATTTTAAACATTAGTTATAGTTAGTCGTCTAGGACTTCTTGGCCTGTTCAAGTTTGTAACTGACCCTCTCACATGTACTTGTACAGATCCTGGAGGCATATCAACCGCTGAATGTAAACTTGCTGCTCTTGATGTTCTGGGTGAAGGCGCTACTCTTAAGTCTACTGCACTGTGAAGACTCGCTGCTCTGGAGGATCTGGATGTTGAGTGATTATGGTCTGTTGGTGGAACAAGTGCTGGAAGGTCGGCAGCAGATCTTGAGCGTCGAGGTGGACTTTCAGGTATGAGTGCCATACCGCCCATGCTACTTACGAAGACCGAGTTCTATAAAGTTTAACATAAATAAGTATTGCTTACCAAAATTAAAAGAAGTGACAAGGTGATAAAAAAAATACATTTTTCAAATAACATGGATTTGGTGACATCTGTTTTTATACCTTTATGTGCGTGTGTGTGCGACTGAACTCCTCCTGAACGGCTGGACAGATTTTGATTAAAAAAAATGTGTGTTCAAGATTTAATTTTTTCACAAATTAACGTTTCGATGTGGCTATTTTACAGTGACCACTAAGCGTTATAATCGAGGTAATTCTAATGTGTTTCTAATATTCATAATTGCTGTGAATAAATCTGCAGTAACAAAATTTTGAAAAAAGACTATATTTGTAATTCGGGCATTACTACAATATCTTGTAACTTCAAATATCAAATACCACCAAACTCATGATATGTGAAAAATATTATAATTACTTCAAAATCGTGTAACGTTTTAAAGCCAGTGAGTTTGTTGTATGTTGTTGTTTGTTGTAATAACATAAAATTAAAATAAAAGTAGTTTAGTAATATTTAGTTTTCATTTAAGACTTTATAGAAGCTTTTATATGTTTATATGTTTATAACTAAGACTTTATATGTTTATAACCCAAACGGTATAATATTGTGTATGGGCCTCACCTGCCGCGGTCTATGTGACAGGTACCCACATGGTTGATAAGCTGAGAATGATGCCCCGCAGTCGTATGACACACAGCCCCGTGACAGTGATGCTCGGTGCTGTACAAAGCAGTGTTAAATTTACTAGAAACTTCTTAACGAGCTAGGTCCTAAGTGGTACTTCAGTGTGCTAGTGAAAAACTTCAGCATCTTGTAAAGGTAAATGCTAAAGATTTTAACAAGTTGGTGGACTATATATTCATATATTACATGGACTTGTATTTTGAAAGATTAGTTTGAAGATATGGTCCACCAAGCCTCATATTCGATGCGGTGTTCAAAGAAACTAGTTCCGGGTTGCGTGTAGACTAATGAAGAACTAGAAATACCTGACAATATCATTATAATTTAGGCATTCACTTTCCGCAGGTTGCTGTAATAGAAAATAACGATGTTTTTTAATTCTATGCGCAACTATCCGCAAGAATACTTTTGAAATATCTTTTGGTGGATCATTTTTTAAGGTTTAGTTCTTAAAAGTGGGTAATAACGTAATTTATTAAGTTAAAGCTAGTAATGTTACAAAGCTTTTTACCTAGAATGGTTACTTACGTGAGGAGGAACTGACACAGAATTTTCAGCGAGGGCGCAGCTCTGTCGATGCTGTTGCTGAAACTTGGGCTGATACGGCTCCAGCATTCTAGGAAATTAGGGTTTCTTGTACAACAGTTATTTGTACACCAATTAAAAAAATATTTTGAATTTATTTGTGGTATTTATATTTTTTCGTACATACGTTGGTCTGAATATCTTTTCCATCTGAGGACTAGTTCGTACTATTACGGAAAAGCATTTTCTTTTCATTCACATTGATTTATTTTACTGTGTTTATTTTAGATGCAAAGAAAATTGGAATGAATATGTTCTAAAACAGAAGTTGTTATTTATTTTTTTCGAGACACATTTATTGAAAAAGACTAAATGTATACTACGATTGTAATATAATTATAGTAATTTTAATTCCAATTTAATTTAGTTTCTTGAAAATTAATAGTTAAATAATTAATTTTAATTATATCGGTTAGACACGGATCACGCAATCTTTAGGTAACTGTCATTCAGCAAACATAAACCAGTGAACATGTTTGAACATATTATAATTCAGAGACTATTAGGAAATATAGCAAAGGGCGAATGCATTTGTTAAAATGCATAATGGCAATAAGAAAATAAAGTTGGTATTCTACTTTTTAACAACGAGCTTTTAATATAGCCTTATCTATGAACTATTTTATTAACATTTATGACCCTCTTTGGAGTGCCGTAACTCTTGTGAGTAGCCCTTATGAGTAGGGTTCACTAATGACTACTTACACCGGCCTAATGAGGTTTGGCAGACTGTACAACGAAGTCTGCGGTATAATCACACGGTGTTTTTCTACGCTATAAACGCAAGAACCCACATTTCTAATATGAATATTTTGTACTTAAAAAATCTAGAGTTCCTAAATAGAAATTTTACTCGAATACATCAACTTCTGTGTAGAATTTAAATTCTCATGTCAAAATTAGTACGTTTCACTTAATAAAAGTTATTTTATAGTAATTTAAAGCTGTTAATGTTTTGGTAGTCTAGAAGATTTCATTCTCAATTATATTAAAGGCACTTCAAAAATATTGTTTGAGTAAAATCATTTGGTTTATACAATTTGATTCGATGTTCACCAAAGCTCATCGGAATACTCAATGTTTGCTTAAGCAATTACTTTGCCTTTTGAAACGTATATCGATACACAGTAATTGTTTGGTCTTTTCAACACTTTACAGATCAAACAGAAGACTACTTTGTATATATTTATTAATTAATATTTTATGGCTTAGCAAGTAAGAACCGAAACTGAGCCACTGCAAATTCAAGAACACGAATCCTGTAGCACGGAAAGGTAGTACGGAAAGATACTCCGGTAAAGACATGGTATTATTTTTTGACGTGACAACGTCTTATAATTCGATGGAGTCGGCTGCACGCATGAAAAAACATGACTCATGCGGCGTTACCTCGCTCTGAGGCGTTCCATTTAAGGCTTGAAATGCAAGCGAGAGCGCGCAACGAGCGACAAAGAGGCACAATCGGCCTCCGCCCTCGGCAGCGTTTGACATCTCTCTCTCTCCTACTTGAGTGAGCGATGCGTCCGCGTGGACAGCTGCTATACAATAATACATTTACATGTTTTCGTAAAATGCAACCATTCCATCAGTATTTTCTTATGACGTTGTCACGTTCAACTATCGTCAGTAAACCGACTGAAAAAATCGGTTGTCTGTAAACAACCGATTTTTAACAACTAATCTTATCTCTTTAATAATTATTATCTCTGAAAGTAATCAAATACTATATTTCTTACATTGCCTTCTGATTAAATGACCGTGTTGATCTTTAGCCATATTTACAAGCAAATTACCGCGTAATATTATTCAGAGCAATAGCGCTTATAAAAGGGAATGTGTAAAGTTCGTTCTTGCTTAGCCGTGTAAGTCCCTATATGTGCAGTGAAATTAATTCAAAATAATACTACGTACAGTTTATAGACGCACCTGATCTTGCCCCAACGATTGAAGAACAGTGCTATGGCTGCGACCCATAGGAGTAGGACGAAAGCAACTATCAACGCTTCTTCGGCCCGTACTACGACCCCGCTACCATCTGTCGAAAAAAAGTTATGTGAGAGAGATGTACAGAATTGTTCAACGATTCCCGCCAACACCATCATAAACATTTTGTGATGGCATACTCTAATACATATTTTTTGTAATTTTATAATATTATTAAAGTTGTCAAAATTTGTTATTGTAGAGTTGACAATTTTTTCAGAAACGAAAAACAAACGGATTTCTAAAGCGAAGAATTGAAGGTTTTTATTGTCGGTTAACATTACGCTTTGGACCTATTGGAGTTCTATATTAGAAAAAGTGATACAGAATCAAGGAGAAAATCCAACCACCACTTAATTGAATATTTACCAATGTCAGGCAGTGAGCCGTTCACGCGCGAGGTTGACGATGGTGGATGCAGTCTTAACACGACTTCTGCTGGAGGCCCACCCGTCGCTCCACTCCATTCTAAAGTAAAAATAAATAATCTGTACATTTGAAATTGGAAAACTAGCAGCTTTTTAAGGGATTAAGTATGGGAATAGGTAGAGAAGTAGGTAGAGGTATACTCCTTATAACTGCTGATGCCGATTGCGCACGCGAGCTTTATTTTTCATGGTATAAGGGGGCAAACGAGTAGACGGGTCACCTGATGTTAAGCAACTACCGCCGCCCATGGACACCTGCAACTCAAAAGTCACAAGTGCGTTGCCGCCCTTGAAGTCCTGATCTGGTCGATGTCCAGACACACAAAGACATGACCAATTCTTCTGCTGGTGGAGGACGCATAACCCGTCTCATCTCATTCTAAATTGCATTTTCCTTAACCAAGACTTTTTCTAATTATTATTTAGTAAAGTTTTAGTTAATTAAACCTGAGAATTGAAATTGTGTAAATATGATTATGAAACTAAAAATGTTAGCCAAACTATTTGAATCTATCGTTAACGAATTTTATAAGAAAATACCTTTACGCTGTGTTTATCAAGATCAAGATCACTAAAGCCTGTTTGAGATTTTTGTGCTTAAAAAAAGAATAGATAGGTAATAAATAAACTATGTTGAAAAAATATACGCCGTGATTTGTTTTGCTAGATTGTGTGATTATAAATTACTAACTTATCAATTCCGGTATGTCTCGGAAAAGTGTTCCTGGATGTTAGGCACAGAGTTTTTTTTTTCTATTCCAGTCGGAGACCATCCACCGGTGAGGCGGTTATAACGGACTCGAACCGACTAAAAACCTCATGCCGCTTGGTAGGCCGGCAGAGGTCTAAACCTCTCCCGGTTCCGCCTCACCATCTCCTTCGCGAGCATAATTTGCTCGGAGAAGGAGACGGTGGAGTTCCCCGCACTCTCGCTCCCTACCTTAGCGGCATTAATATTACCGAGCAATAGAATTCTCACTCCGATAGACACCCACAGAGTCTGTTTATGTTTTACATCTCAAACAACAACAAAATTTCATGATAGTCGAGAAGTTACGCGTGATAACGTACTCGTACATAAATAAACTCTCATTTGCATTTATGATACGTTAATATAACTTATTATAATTACAAATGTGAATACTTTGTGTACTAGGTCTATGTTTAAAGCTAAGAAGAAATTTATTTAAAAAAACAAAAGTTAATTTGGAGTCAATAATTCGATGTAAATTATTTATCCCCCTGGTATAGGAATATTCTGGAGTATTGTGATAACTAAGTGCTGTACAAATATTTTACTACTGTATGCATAGTGTACTATATATGTGAAATTAACACATGACAGATGCATTGGCTAGCTTTAATTTGTATGAGTAACAAACCTTTATTTTTGCAACGTAAACGTAGTATACCGCTATTAATAAATAAGGCAATAAGAACCTCACACATGACACACAGACTGCTGATAAACATAATTATCTAAATAAAGATTATAGATAAATTACCTCCAGACACAGAATAAATGATCATGCTTAACACAAACCAATTTGTTGTGGGTGGGAATCGAACCCACGACCTCAGCGGTCAAGATCACTAACCCGAAGACCAATAAAGCCAGCTGTCTGTGGCTGGGCTGTCTAAATTTTACATTATTTTATATTTATAGTTGTTAATAAATTAAAAGCAAAATAATGCTCTTTTAAGAGATTTATTACCAGACGTTTAAAAGCCAAAAAGTGAGTACATCAAAGGTACTCATCCGATTTGAAAAATCTTTAACGTCGTGTCATCAATCTTTTTACGTTAGATTTTTTTTTTGTTGAGAAAAGCTTTAGGCTTTAACATTATGCTACGATTCGAAAGAACGGAATGGTATAAACATCAATCAATCGATTAGAGGGGCACAATGACAGGACTATAAAGTCAGTGATACGGATTGTGTTGGAGATGTGTTCAGTGTATTGAACTGAAAACTATTATTATCAGAATGGGTCGCCCTTTGTCAGTGAGATAAAAAGCCAAACAGCTCAGTTGCATGGATCACATTCTATATTTAAACTTTATCGAAATTATTACTATCAATATCTTCTGGTTTATTTAGTAGACTTTTTTATTATTTAGTACAGGAATAGTATTAATGTAACGGGAAATTGTTACAAGCTATACTTATTATTGTAGCTATCATTGGTTTACGGTGGAAGGTTAAATTGGGCAGGTTGTATTCCTACCTTATAATAAATACAGAACCTGATATGATTTTATGTCAGAACTATATTGGTTTTGGTAGAGATTATCGCCCCTTGAGATCCATAACTACGATCATCATCTGCCTATCCTTATCTTAATTTCCATTCTACTCTGTCCTTCGTTACCTTACAGTTTACTCCTTTCCTAGCCAAAGCCGCACTCACACAGTCCATCCACCTGTTCTTTGGCCTTCCTCTTCTCTTGAACCCTTTAACACCCATATCTAACACTTTCTTGACCACATTTTCCTCATCCGTAATTACGATATACGAGTATATCATATAATAATGCCGTCTAGTATTTGTAGTATTATGCAAACGTTAGATGCGGGTAGTACAAGACCCGTAATTGTTATGGCGAGCCTTGGGAGAGTCCTGTGTCCAGACAGACGTCTTTCGGTTAAAGAGAAAGAAAAGAAGTGTGATGAGAAACTCAACCGGATAATCGGATGAACATCATCACACTTAATACAACATAATACTTTACAATGTTAGACAAATTAGAAATAAATACCTATACATATTATTTATACGTTTCTAAAAATCATGATTGCCTTCTGGCTTGCATTAAAATTTGTTAAAGCTTTCCTCAAAATACAAGTGATGTTACGAACAGCAAGTTCCGGAGATTAGCGTATTAGGCACATAAGTTTAGCTTTATAGTAATAGTATACATCAATTTCAGCTCAAAAGCATTCTTACTATCACACATTTGTTTCACGACTTTGTGTAAAGTAAATAAAAATCCAATTTTTAGGTATTAAATTGTATCAAACTACGTGGAAATTCAGAAATACTAGCTCTGTGGCATTCAGACTATAAAAATGCCACACAGTAGCCATAAATCTAGCGGTATTAATAAAAGTTTCGGCTTCAAGGTTATTTCTAAAGATAGGTGCTTTTAGGCGCTTAAAAACGGTTTTCGGAATATTTTTGAAAAACGAATACAATATGGAAGAAATCAATTTTCCTGCTAGTTTTTTAAACGCTCGGCAGTAAATTTAATCGCACCTCTTAGGCATAAAATATCTAACCAAACAGTACTATACTCTGTAGACCGTATTATCAATGACCCTTAATACAGGACAAATTTACAAAATGTAAAAGATAGCTGTAAATAATGCAGATATAATGTACATGAGACTCTCATAACGCATGCTGCGCTATTCTTCGACATTGAGAAACCTATACTTAAACACACATGTTGATATTATGACATGATCTTTAGACTTTAATAAGGCTTGAAATTTTACTTTTATATTTACGTACAAGTGAATATAAAAGTAAAATATCATAAATACAAGAATACAGGCAAGCAATTTTAGTATCATGATTAATTTTCTCATAATATCTACTGAAATTTGTTTGAACTTCAAAATTAATTTCAGTTTAGTCCTTGATAAACAAAGTAGCTGTGACAACATTTTTATTAAGGTGTAATTATTTGTAAGTGTCATGCAACATTCAAATGTCAAACTTTGTATTCAGACCGTAACGAAGTGGCCGTAAACTTCGCTCAAACAATCCAAGATAGTCACTTGCTGTAAGTGCAATGTAGGCAATTTTTATAAATGTAGCCTCTGTACAAATCAAGTATAAGTTTTTTCTATTATGCGTAAGTATTTATAACCAAAGTATTAATATTTATAAAGGAAATTAATATATGAGAGAAATAAAATAGATATTTTAAAATCTACAACCATTTTTTATGTTATGCGGGCAAACGATCTAACGGGTCACTTGATGGAAAGTGATTACCAACGCCTGCAACTTTGGATTCACAAGTGCGTTGCTAGGTTTGGAGTTAGGAGTATACTCTTTTCTTGAAGGTTTGGAGGTTGTATCAGTCCCTAAATACAGCAATCAACAATTTGTTCACAAAAACATTGGTTGAGCAAGGCATAAACTTCCTTGAAAAGCGCGCAGGGGTGATGTGCTAATTATTATCTATGCGATGGTAATAGATGTTTTTACCGCGTCGAACGATAAAAAAAAACATTGTTAGGCATACTAATGAACTTAAAAGTTTTTATTTTATTACTATGTTATCTAAATGAACAAAGGTTTTGCTAATTCAATCCTTCTTGAAAGTGATCAGCACTCCATTTATAAATTTGAATTTGTCCAGCTGAATCCAATCTGAAATTCCGACTTTAATAATTAGATTCTAGCCGCAGTATCGCCAAGGCCACATTACCGAAGCCCTCTGAGGTTCAAATTGGAAAACAAAATGAGTGGAAAGTCGTTGAACTTTATGTTCAGCAAATGATTGCTCTTGGGTAAGAATAAATTTGCTTTAAAAAGGGTAATGTGTTTTGTTCTAACATAACAAAATGAAAAAAGTACAAATGCAAACATTGAATGGTTCCTAAGTAAATAAGTTAGTAAATAAAAATGATATCTGATTTTTCAAACAACTCTCATGATTAATTTAGTTACAAGCCCTGTACAATTTGCGTCTAACTGCAGTTATTAATCATAATTTAAGATAGCGTTATATTCTTAAGTCGAGATAACTTAAGAACATATTAATTGACTTATCTTAATTGATGACTCTGCGGGTGATTAACATCTTCTGTTTAAGCGTAAAAAAAGTAAAAGTCTTTCAAAATACTATGGACCTCATACTATAGACTATTATAAAAGTTATGACGGTGAAGTCTGAATATAATTTGATTATAATGAGAAGAACTGCGTATTTTCTTCTGGTATTAACTGACAAGGAAAAAACCCTCACCGTTGATTAACGGCAAAATCATACTACTGATACTTACTACTTTGACTACAAATCAACAATGACTGGCCTGTTGGTCGAGTGGTTG